CGATTCTCATCACTTTCCCCTTCCCGAGACTAACTTTGAAGACCAAGTCACAAGTGCGGAGGAGCAAGATAACCCTTTCTATGATCTTGCATGGCAACTTTCCCTCCAAACAGTGCTTACGGAAATGAAAGGGAAGGAGAAAGAAGAGGTTGAAGAGGAAGAAGAAAGCATTGAAGAGGGAGAAGATCTCGAGTGTTCCCAAGGGGAGGAAATTGAAGAAGAAGGAAGGGAGGTTGAAGATGAAGTAGAAGGAGCAAGTGGCGTCCAAGATGAGGACAAGGTTGGGGTGTAGTTTCGTGTGAGTCACCTATGTTTGGCTCATCTTTTAGAAGTGCTTTTCGGCTTCAAAAGCTTAAGCATGGCCAAACACCTCTAAAAGCTCGATTTTTGAAAATCTGAAAAGCGCTTTTGTATAACATTAAAGCAGAAGTTTCGATTTGTAGTTTCTGCTTAAAGATGTTTTGAAAATACAAGATTATTCTTACCATATTTTAATCTTATTTCCAAAATTATATTTTTATTTTATTAATATCATTATAAAAATAAAATAATTTATAAAATTATATTATTTAATATAAAAAATTCTAACAAGATCCATATTGACTACTTTTTACTAATTAAAATTTTTATTCATAGTTAAAATTATAATATCCTTTATAGTCATTTTACATAAATTCTCATAGCACTTCTAGTACAGCTTTTGTAACATCCCGAACCTTTTCTCGTCGAAGATATTGTCCGCTTTGGGCCTCGACCCTCACGTTTTTCGACTTGGGGTGCAATTCAAGGTGACTTCACATAAGGTCACCCATCCTTGTTGTACTCCACACTGAGCACACTTAACTTAGGAGTTCTCACAAGAACTCCTTCATTCCACCCCAGAACGCGTCTTGTAAGTTAAGGTTGGTTTCATACTTATGAACCATGGATCTCTCCCGTGCTTTGTCGATGTGGGATTTGCCTAAGGTGCTACATACACCACCCCCCCCCCCCCCCCACCCCCCGGGGACTCAACACCTTCGTTGAGGTTTGCCCCACCATCGTTCAAGAGGGACGCAGAGAGGCTCTCATACCACTTGTAACATCCCGAACCTTTTCTCGACTAAGATATTTTCCGCTTTGGGCCTCGACCTTTTCGACTTGGGGTGCAATTCAAGGTGACTTCCCATAAGGTCACCCATCCTGGTTGTACTCCACACCGAGCACGTTTAACTTCGGAGTTCTCACAAGAACTCCTTCATTTCACCCCAAAACACGTCTTGTCAGTTAATGTCAGTTAATGTCAGTTTCCTACTTATGAACCATGAATCTCTCCCGTGCTTTGTCGATGTGGGATTTTCCTAATGTGTTACAGCTTTACTTTTCTTCTTTTTGTTTGTTTTTTGGTTCGAGAGATGAGGATTTGAGTGTTTGTTGCAGTTTGTTTCCTGATCTACACAGCTTTACTTTCTCTCCATCAGTCTTGTTCTCTGTTTTGTTTTTCTTTTTTGTATTTTCCTTTTACTCTTTGTTCCTTTTTAATAAAATTATTTCACCATTATAATAAAAACACTTCTAGTAGTTTTTCATCCAAACGCTCAACTATTTTTTTTAAAAATACTTCTCTACAAGCTGTCAGAAGATGCTTCTGCGGAGCCAAACTAACCCTTTGTTGAGATCATACCACATGTGTTGGTCCTTATTTCAAGAATTAGAACACAATAATTGCAATTGATGCCGGTCTCTTAATCTCTAATTAGGTGTAAGTGAGGGACATTTGGCTCACTTTTAATTTTTAATTAGGTGTAATAAAAAAATGTTAAATGAATTAAGGGTAAGTGAGGGACATTTAAGTCATTTTTCATTCCCTTTAATAGCCGATTAACATATAATTAAATAGGAAAGTATGTTCGTTACATTTTCATATTAGAATGACCATATAATTAAATAAAAAATATGTTCGTTACGTTTAAATATTAGAATGACCGATATATCTGTACAAAAAATTAATAAAATGAAACATTTGTTAATTTGTGATAATAAAGAAGTAGAAAATGCTATTAACCAAAAATATAGTATTAAATATTTAGCCTGTGTTTCTCCTAATACTCGCTCCGCCAATCCGCACCACCTACTTAGTGGACTTTTTTCTCTCTCTGCCTCCTATATCTAGCGAAGCGCTTAGTGTATGGTATTTCCCAATTGGTTAGTGCGAATTAATCAATAACATTAATTCCCTTTGCACAACAGGTGTCAACCATAGGACGTATTGTCCTCACTTTGACTCCATGATTCTTCACGAGCAGGATATAGTTTATACATCACGTGTTATGTATAATGTAGTGAATGGTGTTAGTCATACAACTCCAGCTCGTTGATAAATAATAACTTTCTTTAACCAGAAGTACCCACGGCGACCAAGTCCTTTTTTGTGATTACTAATAGCTTCATGATGATGTCAAGAGTTATTTGGCTAAAAGGTAATTTTTTTTATGCCTCCGGGAACACCACACGATGCTTTGAGGGTATCAAACCCAAGACCTCATACATCGCGAGACGAACTACCTTGTGGCAGCACTGGTAGCCTGTCTTGCCATTGACAGGTGTTCCTCCAAATATCATTGCTATCGTTGGGGATTGAACTCTAGATCTTGCCTGAGACTCTCCATCAGCTAGACTCAGTGGCGGAGCCAGCACTTGAAAGTACCTGTATCCTCTTTTTATAAATATAATTAAACTGATAATATCCAAATAATACATTCACAAATAATAAATAAATATTAGACTAATACAATCATTATTTTCATAACCAAGGGCATTTTTATGTCCAAATAAATATTATACTAATACAATCATTATTTTATAAATAACCACGACGCGTTTTCATATTCTCAATGTATCCAACTAAACAATAATTAGCAAATTTATCGTTATTCGATTTTGAAACATGGTTTTAATATATCTCAAAATTGAAAATGTTCTTTCTACACTTGAAGTTGCAACGGGTAAAGTCCAAATTAACTTCAGCAAACACAAAGATCGATGTTTAGGTGTTATGAAATTTTTTATAGTATGATAAATTGATTTATGTTAGTTTTTAAAATTAAAATAAAATGTAGTGTACCGATAAAACACTTTTATATCACTTAAATGTAATGAGTACAATCATTTATTAACATATATATATGTGAGGTATTTTATTTTATCCAAAAGTTATCTGTGTCTCGGGACAATCCCATTGCTCCTGCCTCCGCTATGGCTAGACTAGTCTTGTTTTGGCTAAAAAATAATTAAAGCTTCTAGAAACCATGAAAAAACGAGGTTAGTATTTGGGTATGTTTGTTAAGGCCAAAATTTTCTACAAGTTAGTTACCACAGTAATAATGTTTTTTTTTTAATCCCAGTCAAACCGTTTCTTCTCCTTGGTGGAGAACAAGCAAGACTTTCATTTATTGTTATTTTTCTGATTTTATTTGTTAATTACAATGGAAGGAAAAGAAAGAAGAGAAGTGGAAGAAGGTAAAGTTTTCGTTGACAAAGTGATGTGAACTCTCTATCTCATGGTCATGGCCCAAAGCTTCCATTGCATGGGGCTCACTTGTTAGCTTGATCTGCCAAGTCAACAAACGCGCTCAAATTAAAGGGAAAAAAAAGGAAAATACTAATTACTGTTGGATAGGTAATTACCTACAATTTTACATTTCATGACGATATTCAGTTAATTAAATCCAGTAGTCTTCGATCGCTAACAATATTCAGTACTTAATTACCACAGACGCCACCAATATACAACGATGATTAATTAAACGTTTCGAGAGATCGTGTCCTCACGTTAGAACATTATATTAACTAGACCTGTAATCAAGAAAGTTCAATTAATCTAGAAAAGAAGGGGAAAAGGCAACACTCAACTATTTCATGTCATTAATCAGTTGGACCCAATAACTCGACTTGTTGGGAGAATGTTATACTGGATCTTATACAGGTCCACCGTCCATGTATGATACTTAATTACTTCCTTACATGCCCCTTCAAACGAAAGCCGACTCATGAGCTTGAAGTTTGCACAGGCCGTCATACCATGTGCTTGAAAGACAACGGTTAATATTGGAGGTCGCGAGAACTTGAACACGTGATCTCAAGGATAAACTAATTCTGATACCATGTCAAGAACCAGTTACTCCAACAACTCGAGTATTGAGACCAACTTGTCAAAATTCCATTGAACGAATCCAAATATTAATGATTTCTTGTAATGAGTTCCCAAAGAAAGGACACAAAAAAGTCACAGTACTTACCACAAAACGTAACTGAAAGCCAAACAAAAGTCACCCTACCTAGACAAAAAGTTAAGACTTATGAAACAAGCATTCCATTAGGTTAATTATACTCCATCTAGATCCAATTAATTAACAACACCAGTGTTTGTGAAAACGTACCGTATCGACGGTCGACCGAAAAAACTTCCTATCGAAATTTATAGTAGTAGACAATTTTAACAGTATGAAACGGTTTAATCCTAATAAACCACGATTTCAATATAAAATATCTTCTCAGTGACTTTTCCCTAAAATTAACCTTCAATATGATTTCACAACTGAATAATACCAATACACCATTTTTAAAATGTTGGTGAATAGGACTATTACCATAACTGGGGCCTCCCTCCCTATACCCCTTTGGTTGGCTGGACAGGGACTAGTGGTTGCAACAAAGTTATAACAAACTAATAAATTTAACCAAATACACATATCTATTCTGTTAAGTTGATGAACTACAACTTTAGTTATGACTTATTGTGTCCTTCTCTTGCATGCTATGGGACACACGACCCATAATTCTCAGGGCTAAAAATCTTCTCCATCATCATTCATCACCAAGTAAACCCTAACCTAATCTCCCTCCACCAAACCACCCTCTCTCTTTCTTTCTTTCTTTCTTTCTTTCACACACAACCAGAGAAAAGATCCTTCTCTCTGTTCTTTCCCCTATAAATACATAAACCCATTTCCCAATCCTCTCCACCACATTACCCCAAACATCAATACCTTCAATTCTCTCTTCACAGACCTCTGTGTTCTCCCACCAAAATTAGCTTGTAGACTCAAAAGAAAGAAACAACAATGGAGCTTCTCAAACACCCTCATCATTCCTTATTCATTTTCGTGTTTGGCCTTGTGCTACTATTCCCGTCTGTATTGTCTTGGAAAGATGCCGTGACCCACGTCCATCAGTTCGTTGTGAGTTCATAATTTTTTAAGACATTCAAATCTGCGACCTCCAGATTCAAGTTTAGTGATAGTCACCTTGTTCGTGTTTGCCATTTTATTAACTTTCATGATTAGTAATGACATGCTATGCGTGTGTTTGGGCCGTCTGTAGATTCAAGAAGCGTCAGTGAAGAGGCTGTGCAAGACTCAACATGTGATGACGGTGAATGGGATGTACCCCGGACCAACATTGGAGATTAAGAATGGGGACACCCTCTCGGTCAAAGTCATTAACAAGGGAAAATATAACGTCACCATCCATTGGTATTTTTTATGTTCATTTTCATATATCCATTCCCATGTTGATCATAAGAGTGTTTAAACTAATTATGTACTTAAGAAAAAAAACTTACGGTGGGTTTTTCTTGGGTAGGCATGGAGTGAGGCAGATGAGGACCGGGTGGGCAGATGGGCCGGAATTCGTGACCCAGTGCCCGATCCGACCAGGGGGCAGCTACACTTACCGGTTCACGGTTCGTGGCCAAGAAGGAACCCTCTGGTGGCACGCTCACAGCTCTTGGCTCCGAGCCACCGTTTACGGTGCTCTTCTCATCCAGCCCAGGGAGGGCACCAATTTCCCCTTCGCCAAGCCTGACCGTCAATCCACTCTCCTTCTCGGTAACCAAACAATTAACCCTATGTGGCTTTTAACTAATTAACTTTTCTTATCTCAAATTTAATTGATTATTGTGATATACATGATGACCAGGGGAATGGTGGAATGCGAACCCGGTCGATGTGGTCAGGGAAGCGACCCGAACCGGTGCGGCTCCAAACATATCAGATGCTTACACCATCAATGGCCAGCCGGGAGATCTCTACAACTGTTCTACCCAAGGTTTCTTTTTTTCTTTAATTAAACTAATTAATTACCTGCAGCCTTGGACTAGCATTTCTAACTACATGTGTTTGCGTGCTTTAGCACTAATCATTCCATTAATAGTCCCTTTCATACTTTCACGCTTTGTCATGCCTTAATCCATTGATCATTAACTTTTGTCAAAAGGTCAAATAATGATAGCGGTTAGAACATCAAATCATAACACTTTTTTTTTTTACCCCTAAGTAAAATCCAAAAATTGATGATGACCCCATCAGCGGATTCCAAGTCCATAGTTCACTTTTCATTCCCTTTTTCCTCTCGCAGACACCGTAGTCGTCCCGATCAGCTCCGGCGAGACAAACCTCCTCCGGGTGGTCAACTCCGCCATGAACCAGCCGCTCTTTTTCACCATCGCCAACCACAAATTCACCGTCGTCGGCGCCGACGCCTCCTACGTCAAACCCTTCACCACCTCCGTCCTAATGCTTGGACCGGGCCAAACCACCGACGTCCTCATCTCCGGCGACCAACCCGCTGGCCGGTACTACATGGCCGCCCGTGCCTACCAGAGCGCCCAAAACGCACCGTTCGACAACACCACCACCACGGCCATCCTCGAATACAAATCCGCCGCCTGCAGCAGCGGCAACTCATCTTGCTCCCTAACCAATCCGATCATGCCACGTCTCCCGGCCTTCAACGACACGCCGACCGTCACGGCCTTCAGCACCAGCTTCCGGAGCCGCGAACGGGCCCTGGTCCCGGCCCAGATCGACGAGAGTCTGTTCTTCACAGTGGGCCTGGGCCTGAACAACTGCCCGCCCAATTTCAACAAGACCCAACAATGCCAGGGGCCCAACGGGACGAGATTCACCGCCAGCATGAACAACGTCTCGTTCTCTCTCCCGTCCAATTTCTCCCTCCTCCAGGCCCATATCCAAGGAATCCGCGGCGTCTTTACCTCCGATTTCCCCGCCGCGCCGCCGCGGGTGTTCGATTACACCGGAAACGTCAGCCGGTCGCTCTGGCAGCCGGCGACGGGGACGAAGCTCTACAGGTTGAAGTACGGTTCGAGGGTTCAGGTCGTGCTTCAGGATACCAGCATCGTGACGCCGGAGAATCACCCGATTCATCTCCATGGATACGATTTCTACATAATTGCGGAAGGGTTTGGGAATTACAATCCCAAGACCGATTCTTCCAAGTTTAATCTCGTTGACCCGCCTCTGAGGAACACCGCTGCTGTGCCGGTTGGTGGGTGGGCGGTTATCCGATTCGTTGCGGATAATCCAGGTAAAAGAATAAAGCAGAAGATTGGAATTTTTTCCCTTCTACAAAGTCGTGATTTTGGGGATTTTGGGTTTGATTGGCTGAATTGACTTTTGCAGGTGTGTGGCTGATGCACTGTCATCTGGATGTTCATATCACATGGGGGCTGGCCATGGCCTTTTTGGTGGAGGATGGAGTTGGGAAACTGGAAGCCATTGAGCCACCTCCTGAGGATCTACCAATCTGTTCATGAACTAGTGATTGAAGAAGAAGAAGAAGAAGAAGAAGAAGAAGGAGGGATGGATTGTTTTTCCACCCATTTGATGATTTGTAGTGTGTATTTGGCCCTGCATTTGGGGAAAATATGTATTTGGGTATTTTTCTTATAGTTTTCAGTCAGATTGGTTGTGGCAGAAGAAAAATTGTGGGGTTTTGATCAGAAGGCAAAAGGAACACCCTAATTGTAATCAATATATGGTGGCGCTTTTGCTTTCGGATTTATTCGTAGACCCGATTTGTTCCTCAATTAATTGATTATCTCAGTGTATTTTTTTTTTTATACTGTTAGTTCTTCTTTTGTTGTTGTTGTTGAGGTATAATGGATCTAAGTAAGTAATTCTCTGCTGCAATATCAATGTTTCAATGGCGCGGACAAAGTGTGAAATGATTACCAAATAGACCATGATCAGCCACGCTCATGCAACCGACAAGTTGAGGGTTCTTTTACCCCTTTCTGCCGTTGTCGACATTGTTACGCACTCAAGATAATTATATGATGACTGGTTGGACGTTTAAACCAGACCATGGCTTTAGCAGGCTGTGAATCATTGGCCCCTGTTTAGCCGAATCCAGAATATCTACTCCCTTACTGGACATTTATTAGCAAATACTCCAACAGAGAATTAAATCCATCATTTGGCAAAATGCACAATCACTCGTGCGGAGTTTGACACTCTTTGTAGCAACGTCAACAGATTGTCAACATATCAGTTTAGTCTTATATTTCTAGCAGAAGTGAGCAGAGATTAGGTAATTCGTATTCTTCATATTATCAAAATCTCAATTTTCTGGTCGACGATTTAGCTCATGTGGATCTTTCGTTGGTTCCTTATTCTCATACTATTGTTGTTTTTCATAATGTGATTGTCTATTGATTTTTGTATAACTCTGTTGCGGACAGGTTTATCGTCCATTAAATCTAAGATTAAAATTGTTAGTGCTTGCCCCCATTTTCATTGAAAATCATATATGCAAGGATTTTTAACTACAAATATAATAAATGTATCCATAGAATATTCCAAACTTATTTTGAGCATCTACAAATTAGGAACATTGTAAGCAAGAAAACAAACTACACAACCACAATCATTTGGCTCGATTTGAAGTCAACTCTATAAACCTTTATTAAAAGATTGTACAAATAGATATGAAATGCCAAATTGTCCATTACGATCTCATTCGATATGATTAGTAAGTAGTAACGATGTGAATAATAGCTCTATTGTTTGGATTCATTGTTTTCACCATAATCATGTTTCCACGCACCAACATGAGAGCTTTTCTTGTCTCCTTTCCTCTCTTTAGGCGATCCGTTGCCTTTTCCCATCAATCCCCTGTTTCGAACAGGAAAAAAAAAAAAAAAAAAAAAAAAACAGGGGCCTTTTTGGCAACTCGACAGAACCCCTTTCCTCTCAACCCGGCTAATCTGCTAACTGGTCTTTTTGTTAGTATATACTAACTGATATCCAAAAGTGTATGAACTAATACCCAAGTCTTTGTGAACTAAATAATTCGGGTAGTTGATCGGTTTGATTGGCTCTGATACCATGTTTGCGAGGTGTATACGAATTTTTATATAAGTATTCATAAAAAATAGTTGACCATCTTTATAGTCATTAAAATCACGCTTCCGTGATGTTTCAGCTTGATCCTCAGATTCAGTTTTCGTGTAATTTGCATTTGTGTAATTTTTATAGGGGTTTTCGTCGCTACTATAGTCAAGAACTATTTTATCGTATTCTATATTTTCTTCTATCTCTGGCTCTGATACCATGTTTTTCCACTTAACTTACTGATTTAGTAATCTTTGTTTAATTTTGGTTAAGCTAGTTATTATATCAGTAATTAATTCGGTTTTAGAGATAGTTTCTTCTAATGTTTCTGTGGTTCCAATACTCATTTGTTCTTCTACAATTTCTGAGGCAAAGTAAGTCAATTCTTGTGTGACTGTGCTGATATCATTTATTGAGGTGAGATTTATAGCATCTAATCCTTCAATTAATTAATTTATATGATAGTTAGTAGGCATATTTAGATTTTATTCTCTAGATTTGCTATTGAATGTTGCAATTTTTCTAGCTTATTTATTACTTGATTATTGGTTATCTCTTCAATTAATTAATTTACTTGATTATTGGTTATCTCTTCTTGTTCTAAATTTTGTTCAATTACTGGGATATGCCTAATTCTCTCTGATTGTGTTTTAATTAATCGTCTTTGATCTTGGGTTATCGATGGTCGACTAGGTTCTATTTTAACAGTCTTTAATGGTGCTTCTAGTTGAATTAAAGGTTTAAATAAATCTTCTATAGTAATTACTTCTTTATTTTTGAAGGTTAAGCTGTGGTGACTATTTGTTAATGCATAGTTTATTTGATAAGTTACTGAAAATGGTTTGCTATTTTCTTTCATAAAAATTTCTCTTTTTAATTCGTATTTTATAATGACAGAAGAGTCAAGATTACCATCTGCCAGGCTTAATCCTTGTTGTAGGTTAATGTCAAATTTAATTATTCCTACTCCTAAATTTCTCGTTCCTTTAGCAATAATACTTTCTTCTTCGTTTAGGAGCCTATCATCACGAATTTCTAGTTCAATGGGTGCATCAATCCCTATTTTCATGGTTGATTTTAATATAATTTGAATTGTACTAATATGAATATAAGCTATTTTATTTCGTTCTTCTGATCTTAGTTTAGCTAATCTTTTTCTGATTTGTTCTTTGTTTATTACTTGGATTAGGAAATCACCCTTAGTTTGATCAATAGGGACTGCTACTTCACCTATCATTTTACCGTATTTAATAATGTTTACTCTATCAAAGAGCTTTGATAAAAAAGACTTAGTGATAAAGTTCTGAGTTTCTGAAATAGTAAAATTAGTTTTTTCTCTAATTTCCTTAATGTCTATAACACCATCTAAGAAGTAGTTTTCATTATCATTTTTGTTTAAATAGTCAAAATAACTTGAGGTAGGATTATCAGACATACCTGACTTGTTTTTCTGATGAAACTCTGAGCTTTTTGATGATCGCTTGATGATTGTAGCTTCTTTCCGTGCGTTTGATTATATTGAAGATGATTGTGGGCTCCAGGATCAGTGGATCCAAGCCTTACAACTAGCTAGCTAGAGGGAGAGAGTAAACAGGCAATTTTTATGGCCAAACTCGTTCTGCCTTATTTCATTGAAAACTCTTGCTCTTATATAGAGCTAAGAGGAGATACAAGAACGTCATTGCTTACGTTTGTGCAACAGGGACGTAAAGCTAACACGTCAAAAGAAAGTGCATGAGGTGATAAGAAAGCTGATAAAAAAATACAATAATGCACGACTTTTTTAAAGGAGTCGGCCAACCTTTTCTTGCCGTTTTATTCCATATTTGTTTGATTCCTTTTTCTTCACATGCTTTTGTCAGTCTTGGTCTGCTGGTCCACTGACGTCTTCGTCAGTTGATACACACCACTCACAGAGATGGTCTTCATAGATAGTAAGCTCATTGCATAACTGTTTCGTGATTTGAATGGGAAGAGCTGATAGATTCCCATTAATTTCCGTGAATTCCTTAATTTTATCTGTTATGATTATCCATTCTTCTTTGGTCATGTTTCCTCTTGTTTTGCTGGTGATGATGGCATCGGGGCTGCTGTAATTGACTTTAATCTGACTTTCCGGTTCAATTTTGGTTAATGCTCTGCATACTGCAAGAAGACCCTTTACTTGGTAGTCTGGTTTCTTCTCATAGTCTCGTAGGTCATCTCTGGTAGGGTAATCATGATTTGATACTCCCATGAGGATAACTGCCTTTGATCCGATCAATAGTTTGTCTTGATCGAATACGGGGTAGCTGCTTGTATACTTGAGAAATATTTCTCTTTCCTTGGCGAATAGCTCGAGATATCTTCTGATTACGTTCCTCATTCTTTGTGGGAAGTATTCAAATAACTTCATGGTTGTAGTGTAGATAGTGTCGATTAATCCTTATTGATGGAACTCAAAAGAGAGTTCTGGTGATGCTTCTTCTGTGATTACTGCTTTGGGTCCTCCTCGACTGACGGGGTAGAAACCCATGGTCGTGTGTTTTTCTTCATAGTTGATTATCATATCCCAGTTGGATATGAACTTCTGAAAGATTGGTTTTAATTTCTCTTCTTTTTCCTTGGTGGTTAGGATGTTCTTGATACTGGGTATCTTCATGACGAGTTTCTGCAATTGTTGCTCTTGATTCTTGACTGGTTCTTTCATTGCCATCACCTTGTATGATTGTCTATATGCTTCGTCGGCTGTTTCTTTTGTTTTAAATGATTGATGTTGGACTGGTTTGCCATTGATGTGCTGGCTACCGATGGCCCAGTTATGATATACTCCTCGGTATGGTCCGTTAAATATGACATACCATTTGCTGCCTTTTCTGTCGTCTTCTTCATAGTGGGAATCTTTTGTTTCTTTTTCTTCTTGTTCAACGATGTCTGCCCATCGTGTCGTCTTTTGTATATTATTGCTGGTAGTGGTGGATGTTGCTGTCGACTTTTCTTTTTCAGCAGGTTCTGTGGTAAGTGTTGATGGCTTTTCACTAGTGGAGCTAGTTGTTAATGTACTGACGTTGATGTAGTTGATTTTTAACTGTTGCTGAATGACGTCGATTGATTGAATTATTGCTTCTTCCTCCCCCCTGCAAAGGAGAAGTTGTTGTTCCAGTGCTGCACTCTTTTCCTGCTTCTGCTTCAGTTGATTGATGAGGGTTTTTATGAATCCTTCCATTCTCGAGTCAGTGTGTCTGTGAATGGATTGTTGCTGGACTTGATATACTTCAGATAAGGATTGTAATAATGGAGTTGTTGCTGCCACCTGATTAATCTTCCTTTGTTGAAATCTGCCTGAAGCTTGTACCTCCAAAAACCTGTTACATATTTAGAGTCGGTTTGAAGTTCAAACCTTGTAGATAATAATTCAAGCTTCCATTTTTTCAATGTTCTGAGACAGGCTAGTGTCTCTAATTCATGGATCAGATAGTTCTGTTCAGTGGTGGTAAATGTTCCAGAAATATATTTAGATAATTTCTTAAAATATTTATCACTGTTGAAAGGAACTGATGATTGAGAACTAGAAAGTTCAATAATATTATCCGAAGACTGATAATCTTTAGGCTTTTGGCCAGATCCAGTAGCCTCGTTATTGTCTATTTTGACATTACCAAAATTGTCCATTTGTAATAATTCCTTGCCATTTTGTATTGCTAACATACACCCTGCCCAAGTGTCTTTCGAG